AGGAGAAAGAAGACAAGAACACAAACTAAACCAACTCTGGATATTAAGTACTATACAAGATGATAAGTCCAATGAATGGCTTTAATTGTGTGACTTGACATTTCACTAAGATTATCATTTACCAATCAACACTTTCCTTGCATAACCTGTAACTAAAACATTGACCTACCATCCCTGACTGCACAAGAAGTTCCAGATGGTCCTGGCATATCTGCTTGCCCTTCCTCAATGACAGTACCTTCATGCCCGTTTTCATCACTTGTGCTACTATCAAGATATGTGTTATAATTCAGACAACTCTTAAAACCAATAACTAATAAAAATTGTGTTTCTTGTGTTATACCTTTCTCCACATGAAGAGGCATGCATCGCAATGAAATCAGAAGGATACATGACTGTGCAGACAGGACATGGCTGCATGGGTGCTGTTGTGAAATTAATTTAAAAAGGGATAACAGTTAAATTTTTGAACACATTACATTTTTTCTTCAGATCTTTAAAAATACAAGATATGTCTGGATAATATGCTACTAAAATGTGAATAAACATACATTCTTTCTCTGTAGATTCATCACCATTAGAACAAACCAGGCTACTTTCACTGGCAGTTTCCATAGGAGGACAAGACTTTACATGCTCTGGAAGAAGTTGCAATGGAATCCCCAATCCACACTTCTGGCATTTTGCTTTTGGCATGCTACTGAAGGATTCATCGTTTAGTGGTAGAGGATCGATGCTTAGTTCCTCTTGAATAGGGGCAATGAATAGATTTTTACCCCCCCGACTGGCAGCCTTCAGTATCTTCCCTGTGTAGCCAATATCATCAGGAGGAACCAGAGAAAGCTTTCTGCTTCCCCATCCACCTGTTTCAAGTATTTCAAAGCAAAAAAAGTTGAAAAATCTGATCATTTATTATATAAAACGTTTAATATCTATATAATTGTATTAAGTTATACAAAAGAAGCGATACAAAAAAACATGCACTTTTTTTGTTCCACAAAGTACTTTCAACTTTATGCAGCTATTTATGAACAAATCTATTGGCTGCATGTTGTGGACCTGAGGAGTCATCACAGGTGAGCTGTTCTGAATTAATCTGCAGAGCTGAAAAATGTTCTTTTCCTCAGTGAGAATTAAAATGCTTCTTGGAAAATTCATACACATTTTAATCTCCTCAGCTGTGTGCGCCTTACAGGTCTGTGGTAACTGACGTGTGTTTATATCTAAGTGACAACAATTTCAAAAATTTATAGTTTACAAGGGTAGACATAAGGAAGTTTTTGAAGTTGTCCAGCAGCCAGAATTTTATTCCTTTCCAAAATTCTCAAGAAAAATCTAATTTAATAAATATATTGTTCTGTATACAAAGTTTACTATACAAAAGTTCTCAGTCAGCCAGGTTGCCAGTTTCAGGAGCTGCTTGAGTAGAATGTTCTTGTTCTCCTCATCCTTTTCTTTGTCATCAGCATTCAAAAAGACAGGCATGCACAGAGTATTTCATTTTAGTGTTTTCAGATGAGGAGCTGTCTGATATATTTGTTTTTAAAACTTGTAGCATCATAGTTCTTTGCACAGAATATGTTTTGTTTTATAAAAAACTGACAGATTTCTGAAGTGTATTTACAGGATTTCAGCTTGTACAAATAAAATGCGATGTTCAAAAATGGTATGTCTGAAGAATAGCAGGAATCACTTGGATTTCTTCTTAAATCTTTATTCTCGTTTCTGCTCCAATCAGTTTCACAGCGGCACACACTAGACAGCAGACAGGCCTCAAACTCAAAAGCCTTCATCTTATCTGAGTATAAAAAACACAGCAGCCAGACTGTCCCAGCCTGAATCTAAACAGACTCCTCAAAAACTAAAAATCATCTATCCATATAACTATCCACAAATTCTCATGGTAGGTAAAAAATTTGCATTTATTTAAGCTCACTTTGACGCCATGCTCACTTTTATACATCCAGAGTTGTGCGTAAAGTATTGTGCCACAGATTTTTTATGAGTATGCACTATGTACCACTTATACATGAGGCCCCTGGAGGAGTACCCAGTTTATAAAATACAATAAATTTTTACACATTTCTGACATTAAAAAATATAATCTCACCTCCAGGTTTGAACAGCAACCAGCCACCTGTAACCTCTTTCAGTTTTGGAAACAAAACATTCAGGGCATCACTTAACTGAAAAGTATAATAAAAAAAACATTTAGAGTCTTAGCAAACAAAACAAATTATACATATCACTAGGGGTGTCCT